CACACACACACACACACACACACACACTGAATAGGACAGAAGCAGAAGGTGGTTCTTAAAGAGGCAGAGGCCAATTTCAAGGCGTTTAGAAGAGGGATGTGATGAGAAGATACGTTTATTTTCTATTTAAACATAAAAACAGCATTTTATTAACAAATAAAGGTGACATAGATACTTTATTATGGTATAGTATTTAAATATATGCCTTTGAAAGACATAATATTGCCCCTTTAAGTTGATGTCACACTGGACGTTTTTTAAGCTCTTCAAACTTTCTCAATATTTTTAGAAAGTCATTTTATTCTCAATATTTTTACACTTATTTTACAGTTTAGACATCAAAAACAGATTCACCCTGTGTCTCTCACTGTTACAGGATTTTTTTCCCCCCAAGTCTCCCCAGGGTGCAGAGAGCGAAACTCTCCTATTTTATTCCGAGTTCAGAATTTTCTTTTCAAAACTGGCAAAGTTTTTTTTTTAACTTGTCATACCTCCTACACAAAACCCTGTGTGACAACCAGACACTTCTGACAGCTCAGGAATTCTTTAAAAACAGTTTTTACACGGTGACTGCAGGTCTGAGGCTTCATTTTTACTCTGTGTTTCTGTCTGCTTGTCTTTAAAACACAGGCTACCATGGTGACCCTAATAAACCACTGGCAGCAGCTTGGACATTCCTTTAGAGATTAGTTCTTAAGTTTCTTTACAGCTCTTGTACGTCTGAGAACTGACGAGCCTTTACAAGAAGGTCGATGTTTTGGGCAGCAGCTGCATCTGTAACGTTCTGAACATCAGAGGAGCGAGATTAATGAGTAGAAAAAAATAATTAAAACATTGATTTATTGAAGTAATTCGCTTTGAGGGTCTTTTTTATTTGAAACTCACCAGCAGAAGCATAATAAATACTAAGAAAGCTTATGATAAAGTTGATCTAAAATCAAAGTTTGATTATGAAATGAGATTAAATATCTGACAGTGATCATCACACAATGTGGCTCTAATTCCTCACTTCACCATCTGCTTCAGCAGCTTCCCGTCTCCAAAATGAGCATGGGTCAGAGCTGGCGTGAGGCGCCGCACTTTTTCACGTCAAGTTCAGGTTTTATAAATCACAACCTTTGTGTGAAAAGTGGCGTACGCAAGTTTCTGGGCCCGTTTTGTGCATACGCAAGCTTTATAAATGCCCCATGGCTTGAGGAGGGGGAGTGGCAGGAAGGCAGAATATAAACAGTTGAGGCGGGAGGATAATCAGGTGTGACACAGACTGAAGAAAGGACATGTGGCAAACAATCAGGCATTAAAAAAAAGAAAAATCGGGTACATTACACTTTCTTTTAAAGTTTGCATGATTATCATCACTACATCTTTGTTTTTGTCTCAACAGGGACAATATTTTGGTTTTGGACATCTTCTTTGAAGCTCTAAACTATGAAACTATCGAACAGAAGAAAGCCTACGAAGTGGCCGGACTTTTAGGTACGGCTACGTTTTGTTTACATGCTTTCTGTTTTGTTGTGGGTGTTTAAGTCTGAACCACACAGGGTTCCCACGGGTCCTTGAAATCCTTGAAAGTTTGTGAATTTCAAAAAAATCATTTCAAGGCCCTGGAAAGTTTGTGAAAACAGCCAAAAATTACACTTGTCCTTGAAAGTCCTTGAATGTTTTTTGGGGGATTGAAATTCTCTATTCACACGACTGATTTTCATCATCTTTTAAAAGAATAAATAAATAAAATTAAATAAAAAAACATACATTGGATAACAATGTACACAACAATGTGGATAACTGAGGATTACGGTAAACAGACGTCATTGTTTCTGACTCAACAACTTTTATGTTGTTCAGTTTTTCATTGAATTTACATGATATTAAACCTGTTTATTGGAAACATGCTGCTGTAACAGTAGGTAATTGCTGCAGCGCGTGGTTTTTTAATTTGAGGAAATTGGTACTGGAAAGTCCTTGAAAAGTTCTAGAATTTGATGTTGACCAAGGTGTGGGAACCCTGATCACAGATGATCCCATCCTCTGTTATTGCAGGTGACATCGGTGGTCAGATGGGTCTTTTTATTGGCGCGAGCATACTGAGCATCCTGGAGATATTCGACTACATTTATGAGGTGAGGAAGAAGAGCCCTGACGCTCGCGATGCCTCGACGCAATCGTCTCAAAACGTCTCTTCTGTTCTTCTGATCCTCTCAGGTGCTGAAGTACAAACTGTGCCGCTGCTCGAGCAAGAAGCACAAACACAACAACAACAACCAGGGAACCGTCCTGAGCTTAGACGACGTCAAGTGTCACGTCAGTAACTTTCACTGATCCTCTGCGGCCCGGAGCTGCTGCGGGCAGCTGGAGGCGTGTGTGAACGGTGCCTGGGGAAAGGTTTGTGACACGGGCAGAGCAGAGGAACGGCCACATGGACGCTGGAGCGACCGAGACCAGAGCTCAACGTGACGTGATGAGACGATCACTTTGTGATGATCGTTAACACCTCAGAGAAACAGACAGCGGGAGACTGCAGCTAAATGAAAGCTTAATGTGTGTTCAGTTGATCAGCTTTAAGATGTTTGTTGTCTGTCGTTGTGATCAGCCTTCATGACAAACTATTAATAGACTTTGTTTTTCTACACTCTTCCTCCATTCTCATCTTGAACCTGTATTTGTTGATTAATCTCTGTGCACTACCTCATCTGTCGGGGTGACAGTGTCTTAAAAGATTTCCTGAACCAAGACAAACTGAGCATCACTAAGATCTTTATTTTAACCTACAGAAACAGAATATCAAAATAAACTAATGGGGTCAGGTTATTTACACAGCAAACGCTCTGATGTGAGTCTGACGTAGGTTTTTATGGTTTTGTGACATAAAGATGCTGAACCAGTTTTCAGCTATAAATACATGGAGTTTACTGGTAACACTGGTTTACTCACTCTTTCTATAAACAAGATCCAAAGTCCTGGAAACCTTTCTGGAGTTGGATGCACACAGGATCAAGACTAAGGATGTGTGTAAGTAAAAAAACAAATGCATTCTTTTGGCCACAGTTGTACATCAGGGGTGTCCAAACATTTCGTCACCTGGGCCAAAATCATAAAGTCAGAAGGACTTGAGGGCTAAAAATATTTTTCCTTTACCTGTTCAATAATAAATTAAGCATTGGATACTTTAATAAAAAAATTAAGTATTCAGATTTAGTCAATTCTGATCAATAAAATCAGGATTTKGGTCACTCTTTTGTTGAAAATGCTTTTTGTATTCAGCCAAATTTAATTAATTAATTAAAAACAGATTGGAGTGCAGCAAAATCAGCTTTTCAGTAGAAGCCACTATATAGATGTGGAAACAGCTCAGAGCCTGGTTATTTAAAAACAAATCAGTGGTGTTGTTGCCGATATTTGTTATTGGAAGAAGATTTTACTTTGTCTGTGATCATTTTGTCCTAATAAAAAACAGAACGTCTCCATCTCCATCAAACACCTGTGACAGGGGCACAAATTTGTAGGCAAATTAGTATAATTCTTGAACTGAAGTCAGGGGCCACACAAAATCAGTTCAGGGCCACAAATGGCCCCTGGGCCACACTTTGGACACCTCATACAGGATGATGTAACCTGTTCAAAATCAAACAGCTCTTTTGAACGACTCTGAAACAAACGGCTTGTCAGGATCTGGATCCCTTTAAAGTGACATTTATCCCATCTCTACTTGCTAATAAAAAGAAACTAAAGATTAAAATGCTAATTCAAAAAAACACACTGTAAACAGACAAATGTTCAAACTGAACAGGTTTTATTTGTTCCTAATTAAACTTAAATTGGTGCACAAGCAAACTATTTGTCATGACAACTGTTCTGTACAATGTTGTTTATAACCACCAAAATTAGTGTTAGCTACTTTATAAAAACTAAAAATAAACATAAAATCATAATCAGACTACTAAAGTTAAAAAAAAAGCTTATTTTGTTATATTTTAAATTTTATTTTCTCTGTTCCAGGCTCAACTAGTCGTGCTCTGCATGTTTCTCTTCAGCCCTGAATGGATCTTATATAAACTTTATATAACCATGAGGCTGAGGGACGCCCTGACAGCATCCTTAAACCATGTGAAACAGATTCTGTTTCTTCCATCATTGTTTCACATTAAAATATGGTAGTTATATATTGAACAAATACAAGAGCTAGATTTACAAAAACTAAACTATCTGTGTAATAACTGTAAAAAAAATTAGATTAAACTGAGAAAAATACATGTTCATACGGCATTCTCTGAAATCAGATATATAGACATGATGTGTGATTTATCTTCAGATTCCAAACTGTGTTTTTTGGTGAGAGAACACAGAATCGTATTCATTATTTTCACTTTGAAGTTGTGCTAATGTGAAGATGACATCACCGAGGATGAACCTGCTGACTATTTTCCATCTTTTTATTGGCTCCAACAGGTTATCTGGTCATGTGACAGAGGGTTTTATTTTATTTTCATACAGTGTGTGATGCTGATGAGGGGAAAGCGTGTGAAAACGCTGTCCTAAACATGTGAGCTCTGCCCGGTCATGAGTTCCTGTTCTGTTAACAGAAGTCCAATCATCCTAAATGTTTCTGCCGCAGTCAGTCTGAACGCCTCTGAGCTTTGTGTCGGTGTCAGCAGGAAATGAGAGCGTGTAGCTGTGCTGGGTTACTATCGAGCACAAACAAACCACCGGCTGTAATTTATTGTAAATACGGCAGTGACAGGAGAATAATCCAGTTTGTGTTAGGTGTTTTCTGTGTGTTTGTTCACCGTAGACCAACCGTGCGTCCCAGCTGTACATATGATCCTCGGTGGTTTATTTATCTAAAATATAAGCAGAGTCTTTGTCTATAATATCCGTGTTGCTACAACCACAGCGTCGGTACATAATGATAATAAAAAGTTGTAATTTTTCGTGCTGCAGGAGTTCTCGCATCTCTGTAAAAGTTCACAGGTTTGATTTGCTTTCTGGTTTTTTATGGCTGTAATTAGTTTGAAATTTCCATTTGAGAACTGAAAGTTTTACTTTGTTTGATATATAAATGAATATTAGACTTGCAGCAGCTGTTTTATTAAAGATTACATGCTAACTTGATTAAACTTGTCTTTTCTCACTTTACAAAAGGTATTTTTAATCTTTAAATTTTGTTTTTTTTTTTTCAGAACATTTGAATGGTTTTGAAAAACAACTACGGTATACTGTATGTAGTAATTCTTGTTTTGTTTGTGGTTTTTGTGTTCGCTTCTGGCCTTGTCTTCATGTCATGTTTACTTTCTCTGTTACGTACTTTAGTTTAGATCTTATTTTATGTTTCTTGTTTTACTTCAGTTTTCTGTTGTGTTTATTTTCCCATCCATTCAGTGAAGTGTTCCAGCTCCTGCTCCTGCCTCTCTCACTTGATCCTCATTATCTTTTCCCTCAGGTGTTTGTCATTATTGTTAGTGTCTCTTTAAATACTGTCACTTTGTTTAGCATGTGTTAGTCAGCCATTTGTGTTTTCATCCTCCCTCGTGTTTCTCTTGTGATTATTTCTAGCAAGTACCATTTTTTTGCTGCCTCAACAGTTTTTTTATGTAAATTAGTTCTTTATTTTTACCTTTTGAGTTCTGACTTTTTGGTTCTGCGTATTTTGTGTTCTAACCTCCCATCACGTTGCTATAGAGTTAAACTGGTCCCCTCCAAAAACACTTTGAGCAGCCTGAACACAGAAAATGTAAAGAGTTTTATTATTATTTTATTTTAAGTGTTATAGCTGGATGTAGAACTACAGCTGCTGTAACAACTCGTGAACATATGAAGAGTTGAAATGTTTCACTTGGACGAGGAAGTAATTTGCTTTATTAGAATGTGACTGGGTTTCTGTGGTGAACTTGTCAGCAAAGAGAGCTTTTCTTTTTGTTCTCAGTCAGAAACCAGACTTGCTGAGTTTAGTTCCTTCCTGCGCGGCCTCTCCTGTTTGCCGGCCAGCGATTACACAACAGCCTCGTCTTTTGTTTCAAGGCCTTTGGACCAAATATTTTCTCCTACAATGATTGCTCTGAATCCTAATCTGCTTGGCTGTGCATTCTTTTGTGTGTGTGTGTGTGTGTGTGTGTGTGTGTGTGTGTGTGTGTGTGTGTGTGTGTGTGTGTGTGTGTGTGTGTGTGTGAATGCCTATATGG